TTTTCCCAGCTATTTTAAAGAAAGCATAAAGGTCTGACAAAGGTTTAAAGTGGACATCTGGTTTCCTACTGTCAAACTTGGGAAAAAAAGCGATTGAACATTTTACTTGGTGTCATATGAACTGGTATTCTTTTCTGCTATAAATAACTTTAATTACATGCCTTTATGCATTTTTCTTTTCGGCTTTTCTACCCAAAGCAGTTTTTAATTTTTTCCTTGGAGTTGAAGATGAAACAAATAACAATCTTCTGCTTTGCTACTGCACCGGAAAAGCTGATACAACATTCGGAATATTCTCTACATTCTGCGTAGTAGTCGTTTTGGTCTTAAAGCAGTGAACTCTTCTATACCAGAGACGCAGATTCTTGGTAAAGTGCACTGGTTTGCCCCTTTGTCAGTCCCAGAGCGTTCTTGTCGTAGCTTTGAATGTGGTCAATGTTTTTTCTGCCCTTCTCACGCCATGCTTGGAGCTTTGAAAAAGATTTTGAAATGCTATTATTTGTGTGTTAATGGAAGTTACTGGGGATGTATTTTAAGGAAAGAAGGGGACTGGGGATCAGATTTTTTTATTATTTTTGTTCAAATAGGAAATAAATAAATTCCACTGGGAAATCGACGAAATTCACCTATTAGAACTTGCTTTTTGTAAACTTTTTTCCTTTTGGGATGATTTGCTTACATATATGTAAAATTTCTCAGTCTAAAGATTGGAGCCTACTTAGTCAAAATTCAGTAATTATAATAATTAGCGTTGCATGAACATTCGTTTATTCGCATAAATTTACCATGATGAATAAATGAAACACACTTCCATTAAGAATAATAATTGTAGCCCTCTCCGGTCCAAAGGAATCCAATTAACCTCTTCAAGAATAAAACCAAGCTGGTTCTTCTAACAGAAATTTGGTTTGTACGTGTCTTGGTGGACACGATTCTGCTACCGAGCCACGAGAAGTTTTGAAAAGACGACTCTTCCTGGTTGGCATGCACTAGGTGTTCTGCGAAAAAGGAATCTTGCATACACTTTGATGACTTTTAAAACATATAGAATAAAGTTGGAACCGTCAACCTTTTACTGTGGCAGCATACAAGCCTATTCATAACGTCAGTGATCTGCTCAGTTTTTGCCATATTTCAAATTTTAGTGCTCTGTGACTAAACACTGTTTTCGCCCTCTCGAAGTGCAAAAGAATGAATTTGTTCAAACTGTGTGATCAGCTTTTCTGGTAAAAGTAGTAAGGTTAAAAAAGAAGTTGTTGAAATGCACTGCAGGATAACAAGCGAAATCTGCCTGTTTGATTTCAGGGCAGAGAAGCCAGAGAGTATAAAACCCTATATATTTGGCAAAGAGCTAGTTAAATCTACTTAACTTACAGCAGTAAAGTAACACAGTGCGTTTCACATAACAGTCAATCTGCATTTTCTTGCTGTCGTTGTTGTGTTCTTTCTTATCGTTGATGTTGTCGTTGTATTGACAGCAGAAAAGCAGATGTTCACATGTAGCCTGAAAGCTCTGTGTACATATGCGACAAGCGGCATGCTGGAGCTGCATTTGTATTGCACTGTAGCTAAACCTCCCATCCAAACAGCCACCTCAGCTTGGATTGCACGGGGGTGTAGGCACGGTGATTGAACAGCCATACGTAGCCAATGAATGAATGAAGTGCGTGAGTGTGCAGGCACTCGGAGAGGCCCCAGTACAGCCTCAAGCAGCAGTCGCTCACTGGTGCTGCTTTGGGAACGAATTCATGTACACAGCCTTGATCACTGGCTTTCTTCCACGGGAACATCCACAATCAGGGGAACATAATTTCCTGATGACTTTGATACTACAAAACACTCAAAGTAAGTAATCGAATAAACAAGCGAGCAAAGCGAACAGAAGATGTCTTTAATAACACGTCAAACCACAAACAGTAAAACCAATATCGAGTACATGTACACCATTCAAACATACAACTCTACACCAAACAAAATATGAAGAACAACAGCAGACCTTAAATTCCATTTCAGAGTTCTTTGAGACTAGGATCGAAACGGCAGCTCCCCAACTTTAAAGCCACTACTTCAAGCCAATGAAGGTTGTACGCATAATATCAGCAGGTTTTATTTGCATTTCCTTTCAAGTCTAAAAAATAGGAATAGGCCCTAAACGTCAACTAAGGATCACGAGTCATAATGGAAAATTTGGTTCAAAATCTTAAAGTGTGACATTGGGTGGGATTTGTACACAGTACAAACTGAGTCAACAAAATAATAAATTAGATTTAAAAATGCATCAGAAAGCTTAGCCATTCATATTGGTCGACAGTCCGTCACGTAATCGGCTTTATGGCTAGCTGTGCGCCAACCCACGCATTAAGTAAGCTGTACGCGTGCGCGATTTTTCACTGTTTCCAATTGTTTACTGCTGACGACACGAAGTGTTTTACCAACAAAGGGTAGAATTGTTGACCAAAATCGAAATTTGTAAGTTTTAAACTTGTTTGGACCCACAGGTACATGGTTCAGGCTATCGTTGCGTCCATTTTCCTTTATCAGGCTTTGCCCTAAAAGAGCCGGGGTCCAATCCCCCCCCCCATTTTCTCCGACACGCTGCAGTGCCTTATTTTCAGGAGCCGGGCCTTTTTGATGTTCTGGTATAACTCTGTGTGGTCATTTATTTGTGAAAATGCAGCAAACCGTTCTCGCAAATTTCCCCAAAATGAATACTCTTTTCCAATGCGGTACGCATTGCGCATGGGCTGGCACACACTGTAGCACGCACTTCAAATTGCTAGCCGTAACAACAAAACCCTATGTTTATGTCGGACGTCAAGTGTTAGTTATACATACATGTAAGTGTATTCGATGTTTAAAAAACTGATTATGGCACAGACAACATTTTCGAGCGAATCCGCCCCGGCTGTGAAAGTGGCCAAAATAACTAGGCTCTTTTTGAGGACTTTAACGAACTTTTTCTCTTTAAATGGTGCTTAAACAACTTCTGCCGGTTATTCATCTACACACACAAGAATTTGAATAATTGTTGTCAAATCGCATTTCGCTAGTAAGTTTTAAATAAGTTCAAGACCTGGGAACCCTGTACCATAATAGATGTCGCCACATACTTCACGTAGGCCCTGAAACAATTTATTTCTAGTTTTTATTTGAGAATAATGTCTTTGGGGCGTATCTCGAATAACCGAATAAACGAAATTTTAACAAAAACCCAGCTAAAGCCGGAATTTTTTTTTCATGGAAAGGAAGTTACATGTTTTTTTTCAATGCGGTTGAGGCTCGCAGCTTTAAAACAAGCAGGCTAACACACAGGTGCTGGGCGAATGTCGTCGAATGCATAGGCACTAAATGAATGTCTTTTGTGTTCATGTAGGCCTGAAGTATTTACGCTCTGAACTGTATTATCACATGACAGGAAATGTTGACCCACGTGCACATCGATGTGAATTTCGTTCTTAGATTATGCAGTACGGCCATACAGGTATAATTTAAGACTCCATGACTGGTAACAATCTACCCTTCGAATTTGATACGAGAATGCATTGTTCACAGCATTTTAACTTGAAGACTGAATTTTCACAAGCTTATTTGCGTCCTAGAGCCTCCTGTTATAGACTCGGTATTCAATTGGTATTTGTTGTAGGTGCACATTGACTTGTTGGGGGCGCAATGGTCGGAAATCCTCCTTTGTTTCTTCAGTTTTCAGTATTATTTTCCATATAACAATTTGCATGTTGTATTGAAGGTCTGTTAAAGCTGTACAGTCACAAGTTTGCTTGATTATTCTCGAAGTGCACATAATCTTTCATCATCGCCTGAGCTTTGTTCTTCGTGGAATGAGTGTGACGCTGGTAGCAGACTTTGACATTGGATTTCTGCGTGTACCTGGGTCACTTTTCCAGTAACTGTGAAAATTTATCCACGCGCTAACAACGCTTACCTTCAGATTTTAGCAAAAGCACAGCGCTCCGCTTGACGTGAATACAAAGCCTCCTCTGTACGCTTTATTAGTGAAGGCTATCACTGAACCATTGTGCGGCACGCGTGCACCACTCGCGAAACACTGAACTAGAGGTCTAGGGCCGTTTTCCAATACTCAACTTCAACTCAGTCTCAGGCTTCAACTTTTTTTTTTTTTTACTACCTGACTTTGAAGCTGTAAGCGCACTAATTAGTCTAATAGTGCCACAAAACATCAAATAAGATGCAAGAGAGTAAAATCATACAGTAATCCAATTTGATTTGAACGCTTCAGGCCCACAACCGGGGATTGGTTTCGGGGACAAAGCCTGAGACGGAGACGAAGTTGAGTATTGGAAAACGGCGTAGGATTCGCAGTCAAGCGTTCGTGCGTGCCGTTACCTTTGACCGAAAGCTATCCAACAGAAATACGGTCTTTTTTTTCTTGGGCAAAACAGTGAAACTGAGCAAACACCCTCCAATCAATGTGGCATTGGATTATTGGCATTGGCATTGGCATTGGTGGGCTTTAATTATTTCCCTCAGACATTTGATCTTCTAGCAAACTGCAAACCATAATTGTGATCCTGAAAGCCTATTATAATTTCAGATAAAAATTTACTCCTTTCAATTTAAAATCAAAATCCTTGAATGAAATCCCGTTGAAAGCAGCTGGCAGCGGGTATAAGGTTTGAAATGTATTACCAAACAGTTACAGTAGTATATATCCAACAAGATATGGGACGGAGAGGTACCTCCCTTACATGTCCCATCCCTAAACACACTCTAGACAATCGTTACCTAACACACACCCCCCTCCCCGAGACCTCTGTAAAGAATTCCTGAGATTCCGATCAAATATTGACCAAAACAAAGGTGGGGGTTGCTCTCACTAGTATATGCAGACTTGTCGTAGCTATTCCTACTCGGCAGTAAAGTGCATTCTGTTAATTGTACTGCGTCCATTAAGCGTGAATAACGTAAAATATGCACTCAGACAAAAAAATGACCAGTGTCCTTCCTTATTGTGTCTTTGTTCACTGCACCAGCCCAGCCTATTTTTGCTTGCCATGCCTGGGCATGGCTCGAGTACACAATGTAGCGGGTTGTACAGCCATGTTAGTACGGGTCGAGGAATAACCAACACTTAGTGGATGCCTGGGGAAGAGTTTCATATATATTATTAGTAATTATTCCCTACAATAACCAATTATCCATCAGAAAGCAAAGAAATATTTACAAAAAACTTCAATTTGGAAGGGAAAATACATGGTCATTTCTTTAGAAAACACTTAGAAATTTAAATCCCAGTTTCATAGTTTGTCCCCAGGTGTCAACTGGCGTTTGTGTGCGGAGCTCTTTCCGATGCCTGATTATATTAAAGGAACCATGAAATAGAAAACTTTGTACGGATTTCAATTAATCTCATTTATTTATTATTTTTTGAGCAATTTTAACCCATATTTTGGAGCTTTTTCATTTTTCATGCTAGTGCACATTTGCATACTCATGGCTGGACTATAATGTCATCCAAGGCACTGAATAGCAATGTTGCACTGATTGGTGCGCAGAAAATATCTAGATTTTTATAAAATACTACTAGAACAGAGTTCATTTCCTTTGGTAATTTATTGCTGGGTAAGTATATGGCAATAAGCCAGTAACCATCCTTTCCTCAGAAATGTTTTCAGAAAAAAATTAAATTTGGAGTTTACAATTTGAACATGAAAACATGTAAACTGAACCACGTCTTCCTGGATTTATATCAAAGAAAAAGCGCCCTCACTTGTCCAGAAATGTTTGGTCAATTTTGAAAGTTTAAAAAGTGCACTTTTCAATTAACTTATACTCAAACACCATATCAGTCGTAAATGATTGTTGACGGTTTACGTTCAACAAGCCCACCTACCCTACCGTGAATAACCGATACCATCCGAACATGCAGAATGTAGACAGGACGACTTCAGAATATTTCGGCTACCTCCGGAAAACTGGAAGAATAAAGCCTAAAATTTGACCACTGATGGCGCACTTCCGGAACACTTGGATAGGAAAAATAACGTGCACAGATATTAGAATTTGTAATATTTTTTCTTTTAATTACTTCTTAGAAAATCCAACTCGGAAAAAGGGCTTTGGAAAATGATTGCTAGTATATCAATTATTAGAAACTTAAAAATCACCTGACCTAAAAGAGAAATATCCTGCCTGTCACAAACCGGGTCCAAAGTATAAAGATTGATCACTTTTTATATCCACTCACTGACAACATAGCCCAAAAAAGAAACTTTCGGGAACTGGTAGTAATTTGCACAACATAAAAGTAAAAAGAAATTTATTATTATTTAAAATCTTCACAAAATCCTTGAAAGAGCTTGTGAGTTTGGTTTTCAAGAGTTTACCCCAAACTAAAAATATATTAATCGCATCATTACAAATTCTATCCCCCACATGAGTACACATGCATGTCCTCCAGCGTGTGTTCTCTCCACCGGCTGAGCACTCTGGGGATCTCCCCCGATTTGATAAGGTAATGTAGTCGCAAGTCCCCCTTTCTAGGTCCTCCATTCCCGCGACGCTATGGTTCTCTTCGGGGTAACAGGGCAGCCTCTCCCTCAAAGAGGAAGATTCTACGACTGAAACTCTACTAAAGGGAATCCTGTGAAATTTATAATTACAAAGTATTACAAGGTATAAGGCTATTGCCGTATTTACAATAAAGCTCCAAAAATGCAGAAATAATACCAAAAATCGGCGAATTTTCTACACAACACCGTGTTGCGTTAAATCTAAAAAGGTTGGGCTATGCATGTGTACACAATAGTCACTATGAATAATGCAAGCGGCATGGGCGTTGCCGTTCTACAAACATGAATTCAAGCAGTATGCACGGGATTTCCACACGAACATGGACTGTATCTTATAAGAGGTAATCTTGACATTTCGAAATTATCTTGAATACAATAATTAAAGCAAAATGACTACAAATTATAAAAAATAGCGTTATACAATAAAATACTCAAGTTACAAACGAGCGAACAGTCTTAAAGTCTGACTCCCTGGCTTGAAATAACGATCGGTTTCCATAGACTAACTTCTCAACCGTGGATTTAGCTTTCCAAGAAGTGGATTTCACTTCTTAGGCTAACGCTTTCCAATAAAGTAAATATACGATTTAGGCTATCGCCACAAACTATCTCCGTCTATTTCTCAATTTACCTGATAGAGCTATCGCTCAATCGACGAAATCAAAATATGCTACTGCACGATAACCGATGAGGAGTCTCCCTATGTCAAGATCTGTCTGCTGCCTCTCCAATGCTTCACTACGGTTTTAACCCCGTAGAGATCATTTAATTAATCTAAATGTCATGCAAATTTTGAAATTCCACACGTTTTCGAATTTTCCCGCGTCAACCATATTTGGTCATATTAGTCAAAAACTTTTCATACTGCCCGTGTTACTATACGTAGGAACGTGGGTCCTGAAATGTGCTGAATATTCATTAAACATGTACCAAGGTTTTACGCCCTCTTGTGACACTACCCCATATTTAAGAAAACAAAATATTTTTTCAACAATCTTCCATTACTTACAATTAGCAGAAGAATTATCCATTGACAAGAAGTTATACATAATAAGTTATTCTTTTCTAAATCACACACATCAGATGTAATTCATTTCCTCCGAAATTCACTGACAATTATCATGGAAATGCACCTCCGGTAAAACTGCATAGAACCCCCCCCCCGGGGGAAATAAACAACTGGCTTAAACTGAAAACTCATCTGTCTGGTTCGGCTGGCAAATTCTGGAGGGAGCTTTTCACACTTAACGGCTGCACACTTAGGGGACACTAACAAATGAAAATGTCAGCACACTCTCATGTAGGCCCCTGTCAGTGCTTGGGTATGGCAAATATTCACCCCAATTTTTAAGTTCATGCACTTTATGCCATGGCAATTTCATTTTTTGGGGGGGAGGGTCAGAAATGTCTCAAAACACCCTTCAGTTTCTGTTTATATGAAAGGTAATCGTTAAAATCTACTAGTGAAATGTTATGGACGTCCTTCCTGATATGCATGAGGATCAGAGTTAGTCTTGCCAAAATTTAATGTTCTGCACATTGCGGCATCACAAAGCAGCATATCCTCCTCGTGTTTCAGTTTTTGTGAGAGAAAATACCTATTCCAAAAAATATTTTAAAAATGCCAAAAAAGATCTTGGCTTTCTCTCTTTTTCCATTTAATTTGGTTCAACAAACAATTAGAGCGTCCCAGAGTGACCCACTGAGAATAGACGCATAAAGCGACAGAAATCCAGATGACCACGGCATGCTGAATGCTAATACTCGGCCATACTTCAGTGAATCGTAAACTCAAGCTTGTCTCCTTGATTACGTGTGGCACGACCATCATTTACAAGTGTTTGTTCCTAATGATCACTACTGTACCCTTTGGGCAGTAGTCAAATGCAGTGCACTGAAATTATTTAATATTTTCGACGCTGAAATATAAAATATCGTAGCAGTCTTTCAAAGGTTTACGTTTTGTTCAAAAACTTCAGGCACGGTAAAAAAGCTGCCACTGGACATGCACCTCTGGTGGCTTCAACGATTCTCCCAGCGCACTGTTCGGGCGCTGGAAAGGGCTAATGGATTTGCACCTTGATTGGCTGCTGTGTTTTTGGTTAAATGAACAAATATGGCAATGCCTTAACAGAGGCCAAGGTGTTGGCTTACATGATTAAACACGGCCTTGGTAGGCCCTACAATCACGGTACTTTATCGCCCGGCAAAAATTACCCACCATGCTCTGCACGTCTAAAATCTGTGCAAGGCCATCAGCCTTTCCCAGCGCCCTGCTCAAACGCTGGGGGATGACGAGCGAACTTCAACCACGTCCGTATCACGAATGCTGATCTCTCACACGCATGCGCAGGGGGTCTAGATATTGTAATTAGGCTTATAATTGATCATTTCCGTGTTTTATTTACCTGATGCCAGAAACATGTAGAAGTAAGAGATCAACTTATGTTAAGTTCTTTTCTTGTCAGAGTTTATCGGTAGTTTGTTATTTTTTACAACACTCTACTCTCTATTGTATGTAGACATTACTACTGGTCAATCAACAACTTTGTGTCTGTGCGATGGTACCACTGTACTGCCAACAACTGCAGGATCTTTGACAAGCACGATACCATCTGATCCAATGACATCAACAAACACCGGCACATCATCTATCATGGAGACAACGGACACCACAGAGGAAACAACAACCACTACAGAGATGACAAACAAAGGCAAACCAACCACCACAGAGACATCAGCCACCACAGAAGAGACAACTACCTCAGAGGAGACAACAACCACAGCTGAGATTACGAATACAGGCACATTAATCACCATGGGGGAGACAGTAGACAACACAGAGGAAACAACAACCACTACAGAGACACCAGTCACCACAGAGGAAACAACAACCACTACAGAGACACCAGTCACCACAGAGGAAACAACAACCACTACAGAGACACCAGTCACCACAGAGGAGACAACAACCACTACAGAGGAAACAACCACCACAGAGGAGACAACTACAACTACAGAGGAAACAACCACTACAGAGGAGACAACTACCACAGAGGAGACAACAACCACAGATGAGACAACAACCACAGCTGAGATTACAAATGGAGGCACATTAGCCACCATGGAGACAACAACAGCTACAGAGACACCAACAGCTACAGATAAGTCAATGACTACAACACCCGTTTGGTGTTACTGCACCACAGAATCACCCACCACTGAAGGTAGGGTATAACTACATTTGTATGTATCCATAATAGAATATTTGGGATTTGCAAAACTAAGCTTTAATCCCGCATGTGATGTACAAGGAGTAGTTGTTTGGCTCCTGGACATTGCAAAATGCACAGAACTGGTAAACTAAAACTTGTTCCGAATGAGTCTACCATTGGGAAAGGAAAAATCATTGTTAACTTTAGTAGAGAATCATATGGCTCCCGACCTGTGCATCATGTTTTGCATATACAGTACGAATAAATAAAGCATTTCTTTGTCCATGTATATCATTTAGCTTGGCATGCACATCAGCCACCCTTTCAGGAAGGGATCTACATGTAAAATTTCACATATTTCTGAATTCAGGTTTTACAACTTCAGGTAATGTTTCTTAAGATATCATTTACAACAACCATTCTGGCATGTTTGAATGCAGTTCAATTAAATTTCTCGATAACAACACCAACCACTAACAGATACACAATCCACCACAGGGATGACAACCACCGTAGGGATGACAGGCACACCATCTACCGTGGAGGCAAGGGCCACCACAGAGGTGACAGCAACCACAACAGGGATGACAACCATAGGCACACCCACCACCATGGAGACAGCAGACACCACAGAGGAGGCAACAACCACTATAGAGATAAACACAGTCACACTAACCACCATGGAGACAACAGCCACCACAGATGAGACAGCCACAACAGATATTACAAACACAGGCACATCATCAACCATGGAGACAACGGCCACCACAGAGGATACAACCACTACAGGCACACCACCCAACATGGAGACAACAGCCACCACAGAGGAGACAACCACTTTAGAGATAACAAACACGGGCACACCATCCAGCACGGAGACAGCAACCACCATTGGGGAAACAACAACCACTACAGGGAGGGCAACCACTACAGAGATGACAAACACAGGAGAGACAACCACTACAGGGATGATAACCAATGAAATGGCAACCACTACAGGGATGACAACCACAGAGCAGATAACCACTACAGAGCTGACAACCACAGATCGGACAACCATTACGGAGATGACAACCACAGAGATGGCAACCACTACAGGGATGCAAACCACAGAGTACACAACCACAACAGGGATGATAACCACAGAAA